ATGGCATACAGGGAACTACATGCGAAGCTGTACAGCAAGAAGGGACAATCAATGGCCATACGGATAGCAAAGAGAAGGGACAAGAACTCGGCGGATGTGAGGCAGATCAAGGTGATTAAGGATGAGGATGGCCGGACCCTCACTAATGATGTAGAGATTAAGGATGGGTGGAGGGCATACTTCAAGAAACTGTTAAATGAGGAAAATCCCAGAGAAGAAAGAATAGTGCCACCGGGAAATGAGGGGATAGTACGAGAGTCACTAGGGGTGAGGTGCGGAAGGTAATAAGGCAGATGAAGAATGAAAAAGCAACTGGGCCAGATGGTTTACCAGTAGAGGCATGGAAATGCTTCAGCGAGCGGGGCATAGGGTGGCTACAGGCGATCTTCAACTCTGTGCTAGAAACGAGAAGGATGCTGGACGACTGAAGAAGCAGTATCATCATACCCATTTATAAGAACAAGGGAAATGTACAGGACTATGGTAACTACTGCGGCATCAAGCTCACCTCATATACCCTAAGTCGCCGCTAATGACCTTAACTGTTGACACGGCAGATAATTTTAAATAATCAATCAATCATATACCCTAAAGATCTGGGGGCGAGTGATAGACACGAGGCTGAGGACAATGGTGCATGTAGGAGAAGAGCAGTTTGGCTTCATGCCAAACAGGAGCACCACAGACGCTATCTTCATTCTGAGGCAGATGATAGAGAAACACAGGGAAAGACAGGAGAACCTGCACTGCACCTTCATAGATCTTGAGAAGGCGTATGATTGGGTGCCTCGGGAAGAACTGTGGGCGTGCATGAGAGAGGCGTAGATCCCTGAAAGCTATGTGAGAGTGGTGCAAGATATGTATGAAGGGTGCTCTACGAGAGACAGAACTGCATGTAGAGAGACAGAAGAGTTTAAAGTGACAATGGGATTACACCAAGGTTCAGCAATCAGCCCATTCCTTTTCCAGATCATCCTGGAGTGTCTGACTAGGAACTTCAGAAGAGGAGCACCATGGGATATGTTGTTCGCTGATGATGTGGCGATTATCACAAGAACACCAGCGGAGGCCGAACACAGACTGGAACTGTGGCGACAAGAACTGGAGAGACTCGGCATGAGAGTGAGCAGGAAGAAAACTGAGTATCTTTTCACAGGTGGAGGTCAGAAAGAAGAAGGTACCATCAGAATTGGAGATGTCCAAGTGAACCGAGTGAAGGATTTCAAGTACCTAGGTACAACCGTACAAGAAGATGGGGGCACGCTGCAGGAAATTGCGAGGAGAATCCAGTTGGGATGGAATAGTTGGAAGAAGATCACAGGAGTTATATGTGACCACAAGGTGCCAGACAAGGTGAAGGGAAAGCTTCACAAGCTCATGGTCAGACCGGCGATGTTATATGGATTGGAGACGGTCCTTCTAACAAAGTCGCAGGAAAGGAAACTAGAGGTGGCAGAGATGAGGATGATGAGATATGAAATTGGAGTAACTAGGTTGGACAAGATCAAGAATGAGACTACTAGAGAAATACTGGGCATTGAGTGATACGGTGAAAAGATCCGGGAGAGTTGGTTCGGGCATGTGTATAGGAGGGATGAAGAGTATGTGGGGAAGAGAGTTATGAGTAGGATAGTCGGAAGAAGAAAGAGGGGGCGACCCAAGAGGCGGTAGATAGACTGCATTAGAGACGACATGAGGAGTGTTGGGCTACAGGAGGAGGATGCCTTAAACCGGAATGCATGGAAGAGACGGATCCGCACTGGTATCCCCACACAGGGAACAAGCCAGTAGAAGAAGATATTTACTACTACGATTTTCGTTGTAATATTTTTGTTCTCACCTGCATACTGTACCCTACTAAGTGCTTTGTTACTACTTCCTCTAATGAATGTTCGTATATCGTTCGGTCTTTCACAACACCTGCATTTTCTTATACTCCCCATGCTAATCATTCGCTTTTTCACACATAATTTTAAGATAGATGTTGATTACCTGCCTTACTTACCTGGTTAGAGTCTTCCTTTTCGATATTCAAGAAGCTTCCACGCCCTGTGGATGTGTTGGCATGGAGCCAACTCTTGCCATTTTAAGGACAGTGTGGTACAACAGGTCATCAAGGAGATGACAACTGACCAGGTCCAATATGCTGTTACCATGATGATCATGAAGCTTCTAAGCAATGTAAAAAGTACAAGTTTGAAAAAGAAGTATTGGTAATAAGGAGCAAGAAGATTAGTTTTGCAGAAGCAAAGCAATGTGCCCGTATGTTGTTTACACTCAGCTCTAGCCCATCCTCCTTCCCGCCAACCCTTACCCTCCAATACTTCTAACACTACACACTCTGCCATTACTTTTAAACCTCAGTCCTCAAATGCTGAAACTGCCACTGGCGAGTTGTTTTACCTGAAACGGAGTAGGAATAAGGGGTCTAATGAGGAGACACCTCCTCCCAAAGTAAGGTCTTTGAAGCCATCAGTTAAGGCTCCAGAGGCCTCAACAGTGACAGCTCTAGCTGTCACCACATCCATAGGGGCCTCTGCTACTTGGCAGAATGCCCCTGAAACAAAGGCTTAGGTATGTTCTCTGCCCAGACAGAGGATTCTGGAGCCTGTCCAAAAAATCCTCCTAGAGTGGGGTCTTTGGAACCATCAGGCATGGCTCCAGAGGCATCAATGGTAACATCACCAGCTGCCACTACATCCACAGGGGCCTCAGCTGCTAGACAGAATGGTCTGTCCTTTGCCCAAGCAAGGAAATCCTGAGCCTGTCCACAGATAAACAAACCATCAAAATGTACTCCCAAGATGCTGGAAAGGGACAGCCTAAAGGTGTGGGGTGGCCCTTAACCACAGGTGCTGCCAAATACTTTATGAAGACATAGATTGTCAACCTGAGCTACTGAATACCTTAATCCAGTGGAACTGTCAAGGAATTCATGCAGAATGAGAAGAACCGCAACATCTGATAGCTTCATGTAATCCAGATTGTGTACAAGAGATTATGACCAGGGAAAATTGTCTGATTTTCCTGAGAGGATTCCAAGTTCAAGCTCATTATGGAACCTTTATTAATGAACCTTATAGAAGAGTAGCAGGCTATCCACCTGCAGACAACACTACAGTAAAAGATAAGACCTTACACAGTTATATCCATCTACCTTCCTCCACAGAACCTCAACATGATTTGAGAGATCTACATGAGCAGTTGCCTCATCCATTTCTACTCTTGGGAGATTTCAATGGTCGGCATCACTTTGTGCACCCCTCGAGTAAGGGCTTAGGAGTCCTTGTACTCAAGAATAAATGCAGTTTTACTGAACAATAATGCACCCACACATTTCCAAATTCAAACCAGATTCTTCAATATTGACCTGTCATTTGGTTCACCTGATTCATAGTGGAGTTTAACTTGGCAGGTCATGGAAGACTTACATGGAAGCAACCACTTTCCAATACTTTTGGAGGATGCGAATGCTATTCTAGACAATGGAGTACAGAGATGGGGACTGGAACATGTAGACTGGAATCTTTTTAGATCAACTGCAGTATTGCAAGGATCTGTGAAGGATTTCCAAAGTGTTCAAGATGCTGTTAATCACTTCACATCCCAAATCCACCTTGCAGCAGAGGCATCCATTCCCAGAAGTAGAGGGCAGTACCGTCAACCTCCAATACCATGGTGGCCTGATGTAAGCCAACAAGCTGTCAGAGCAAGAAAAGCTGCATTAAGGCAGTTGAAACGACGCCCGAGCAATGTAACCTTGATCCATTACATAAAGACCAGAGCCAAGGTCAGACGAGTGCCAAAGAAGACTAGACAGACATCGTGGAGGCAGTATGTCTCCTTGATTAATCCTGGGAACCCCTTAGTATGGGTATGGGACAAGGTTCATAAGATCGCTGGAAAGAGCACATCCATGTCACCACCTGCTCTGAAGATAGATGGCATAATCCTCACAGAAAAAAACAGATGTTGCAAATGTGAGTTCGCAAAATCCATGGCAGAGATCTGAACAGGAATGATACCCAGTGCAATAGCACTGCAGCAGATCTTCCATACAACTTGCCATTTTTGCACAACGAGATGGACTTTGCTTTGCAGCTCTGCCTTAAGACTGACCCAGGAAGTGACGATATTCCATACTAAATGATATCTCACTTACCAAAGAGCTCCCAAAAGTTCCTGTTGGACCGATGTGGATGGCACTGTGCCATCCACATAAGAGGCTATAATCAATCCTGTGCTTAAACGTGGCAAGGATGCTTCCATACCAGGGAATTACAGACCAATTTCTCTCACCAGCTGCATCTGCAAGTTGATGAAGAAAATGGTAAACTTCAGGTTGACATGCTGCTAGAAAAGGAAAATGTGCTGACCTCATCTCAATATGGGTTTAGAAAATTGAGATCAACCACATATGCTCTTGTGAGGATGGAAACTGCTGTACAGAATTCCTTTGCACAGAAACATCATATGTTACCAGTCTTCTTTGACCTTGAAAAGGCTTACAATACTTCTTGGAAGCATGTATGACATTGGTTTAAGAAGAGCATTACCCACCTTCATACAAATTTCCTTGATAACAGGATGTTTAGAGTGATGGTGGGAAACAGCTTCTCTAACCTGGAAGACCAGTTGGAAAAGGTCCCACAAGGGAGTGTCTTAAGTATGACCCTGTTTGTCAATGCAATGAATGACATCGTAAGGGTCGTTCCAAGTGCTGTCTCATGTAGTCTGTATGTTGATGACTTTACACTGTGCTGCTCAGGAGAAAGCTTACAGGATGTGCAAGAACAAATGCAGACTGCAATAAATAAGGTTGTGCAATGGGCAACACACCATGGGTTCAAATTTTCTCCAAGCAAGACCATGGCTATGCATTTTCACAAACGAGGAAAGTTCCATCCTATTTAGGAGCAAACCCACTGCATATTATCCAAGAGGTAAAATACTTGGGTCTAATTTTTTACTCGAGTCTTACATGGGTGCCTCACAGTTAAAGGTGAAAGCTACAAAAGTGCTTAGTATTTTGCGCACAATGCTTCTGTGACTTTACCGAGCACTTATTAGTAGAAAACTTGACTATGGATGTGAGGCTTATTCATCTGCATCTCCCACTGTTCCCTGGATGTTGGACTTGGTTCATAATGAAGCTCTGAGAATCTGTATAGGGGCTTGCAGGTCTGTGGAGTCCCTGTATGTTGAGAGTGGAGAACCACCTCTTTCATTACACCGGGATTACATGAACCTGACTTACTACACGAGACTACAAAGGATTCCGGTATTTCCTGCATCCAGATTGGTTTTCAACTTCTTTGAGGATAGCCGATCATATGGTAGGAGAATGAGGAATCTTGTGGAAGATCTAAATTTAAATCTCGCTAAAGTTCTGGCTGTTGGAACTCCCCAGTTCCCTCCTTGGACTAATCAGGTCGACCTGGATTTGGTCAGAATTGGGAAAGGGGAAAGATCCAAAGCAGAAGTCAGAGAGATATCTTTTTAACACACTTCTAAGTATTAAGGATCAGATGCAATATATACATCAAATGCATTTGGCAGTCTTTCTCTAGCAGCCTCGATATTCACTGCAGAGTTACATACCATCCTTGCAGCAGTCAAGATGCCTAGAGATCTTACAAACAATTCCATTGTAATGTATTGTAACTCGTCACACACAGCAAACACGTGGATAGGTGTGAACCCCTAGGGAGAGACAAGAGGGGATGCCCTTCCATCTACAAGACATCATTGTTTGGAACCCTTTGCTCAACCCTCTGAAACAGCCACCCAAAGGCTATTTCACCTCAGTGAGGGAAGTGAGGTCTTGCACCTTTTCCAGGCGGTTCCTACACCCCTCTGAAACAACCACCCAAAGGTTGTTTCACCTCAGTGAGGGAAGAGAGGACCTATACTTTTTCATAGCGAATCCCTCTTCCCTCTGAAACAGCCACCTATTTCACCTCAATGAAGGAAGAGAGATCCTATACCTTTTCAAGGAGGTTCCTTCATCCCTCTGAAACAGCCACCCTAAGGCTGATTCACCACAGTGAGGGAGGAGAGGAACTACCTTTCAAGGCGGTTCCTGTGGCAGGGATGCCGATTATTACGGAGCCCTTTTCACGTGTTGCAATAGACACAGTAGGTTCCCTGATTCCTCCCTCTAATGATGGACACAAGTGTATTTTAACACTTAGAGTTTTTCAACGGGCTTTCCTGAAGCAATTCTGCTGAGAGAAACATTTGCTCGTTACAAATAAAGTAAGGATAAGATATCGGTGTCAATTTTTGGGCTAACGAAAGTTTATATAGTCATATATATGTGTTTATATATACACTCATATATATATTTATATATATAGTCATATATATGTATTTATGTATACAGTTATGTATATATATATATATATATATATATATATATATATATATATATATATATATATATATATATATATATATATATATATATATACATGTATATATGTGTATGTATATGTATATATATATATGTATATATGTATATATATATATATATATATATATAT